AAGATGTTGACAGTGAAAGTTGGTGTGAACAGGATGTTTCAGTTCCTCTCCCTCATCAGAGACAGTCAGGAGGTTTTTGTACAGCCATGTGTACAAACTGAACCACTGTGGTATTCGGACAGGGGACCAAGCTGTCTGTGACAGGTAAGATGTTTTTTTAACTCATCACACAACAAGTTATAATCTCTATTAAATTTATTAGTTCATTTCTGCATCTAATTTTCTGTCCTCTGGTGTTTTCAGCTGTTTAGATGAATGTTTTGTTTCTAAATCAGTTGTTCTGTAAATGATGAACAGTTGATTTGATGTCAGATCATGTTTAAAACATTTGATAATTCATGTTTTTTAATGTCTCATCTTCATCACCAGTCTGTGGCTGACAGCAAAAACTGGATCCTTTTAGAATAAAACATTTATGTGTGTTTAAAACTTACTGCTTCTTTATGTTTGCAACAAACTCAGTTGTTTACTTTTGTAACTAAGTTTGATAATATAAAAACATTTAGAATTAATTTGCCCATTATGTAATTATTTACAATACAAAATCAACAATCTGAACAATTTAGTATTTTATTAATTTAGTTAGTACAAAACAAAATCCACACATGTTGAAGTTTAACTGTCAATTTGTGCTTTTAATCAAATTAATTAAATCAAGCATCATAAAAACGCAGACATTATTTTTCTGATATATTTGAAATCAGGAGCAGAAATGAAAAATGTTAAGATGATTATAGATTTACTTGTATTTTGAACCACATGAGGAATATTGATTGACTCTAATTTAATTCTGTACTTTCTAAATAAGTTTATTTTAAACGTGTTTCCATATAATCAGTTTTATTCATTCAATAGTTTTAATGATTTCAATTTTAATGGATGTAAAACAAGCAGCATAATAAACTGTACATTAAACACAACCTGGACATTTTCCACTAATTTAAAACTAAAGAGAGAAATTATTGTATTCACATGGAGATGTGATGGATTTTTGATCTTGCTGTAGATTTTGATCCACATTAAAATAATTCATATAGTTAAGTTTTTCCTCTCAAACTGTCAGACTTTATGTTTTGAAATGTTTTCAGTTTTGTGTCTCTTCATTTTAATCTTGTCTTCTGTCGTCTCAGGCTCCAGCCTCCCTCCTCCTGTCCTGACAGTCTTCCCTCCGTCCAGTTCTGAGCTCCGCTCCAACAAAGCCTCTCTGGTCTGTCTGTCCAGTCAGTCTGTGCCTTTTGCACATGTGAGCTGGTTGGTTGATGGGAGTCCAGTGAGCACTGGGGTCTCTACCAGCACCGCTGTCCAGAGACCAGACCAGATGTTCCACATCAGCAGCTCTCTGTCCATCCAGACCTCAGACTGGAACATGAATAAGGTTTACACCTGTAAAGTGTCTGTGGACTCCCAGTCTGAGGAGAAAACCATCAACAAGTCAGGATGTGCTGAAGAATAACCAGAGCAGGAGCACCACTTCACATCTGATGCTTTTCTGTCTGCACAATTTGATATCTACAAAAAAAAAAAATAAAAAAAAAATGCATTTGCTTGAAGTCTGTCTTATACTCATTCTTTATGCATAATAAAGGAAAATCTATTGCAACAAAAGCAACATTTTAAGTGTTTGTGCTCTTTTAATTTTTTAGTGACATAGCAGAAGTTGCAAAACATCTTTTTTTATCTTACATATTAAAAATATGATTTTCTCTGTAATTATTGAAGATAAGAAATATATCCTGATGCATGCTCAATAATCCAGGTAGGAAAATCTAAAAAAGTTAAGTCAGTTCTGGATGGAGTCAATGTTTTATTAAAATTATTATATAAATTTTCTATTATTATTATTAATCTGTCCAAAGGACCTGACTTAACTTTTTTAGAAGAAAGATTTAGAACAATCCACAATGAGATAAGACGCATTAATAAATGTGCATATCTAAAAACAAAAGCAGTTGAGGTAAAATTAATAATCAATTATTAATATCCAGCATGTGAGAAAAATCAGCTCAAATGAGCAACATCTGACTTTGATCCACCTTCAACAATCAGTGAAGCATCACTTCTCTCCTCTTTCACAGGAAACACCTGCAGGTCTGCACTTCATGTCTCTTCTAACATGCAAACACTGAGGTCCAGGGGAACTTTCTGTGACGAATATAGATTTAAAATGTATTTAAATGTTTATCAAGAGCAAATTTATCTGAAAGTGCAAAACAGAACTTTATAAGTTCCACGTGTTTAAACCAAAATTAAGAGGAAAAAGCAAATGCAACATGCAGAAATGAACTGAAAGCTAATTTTATTTTACAAACACTGATCACATTTTATTGCTCTATGATGACTTTATGCAAAATGTGGATTCATTGCAGAAACTGAACAGCAGATGTATAAAACTTTAACCTACAGAAGTTTAAATCTGTCACACTGATTTATTAAAGGGTTAAAAGATCAAAGTGTTTCAGGTTCCACAGAGAGGTGAACACTGAACACTTCATTTCCATGAAGGTCTAAATGTTGGGGGGGGTCTGCAGGTGCATCCTGTGAAACAGAGAGGAGGTGATGCTTCGCTGGCACAGGAGGAACATTCAGTTTCAGCTTGAATCATTTCTGAACACAAAAGTGGTGAAACAGAACAAAGCAGGATTTGTAGGATTTACATGTGAAGAATTGGAGGGAACTCATTTTTTGCTCCATTTACTTACAAATATAAAATTTTACATATTTTTCTTTGTTGAATAAGAGGAAAAATGGCACTAATTAGTGTTTTTGTGCAGAAAAGTTACCTAAATCAAAATGACACCAGTTTATAAACTCCTTCAAATGATCAAGTAACTCAAGGGCTAAAATTTAATAAATAGATAAAAATAAATGAATAAAACACTCAATCTCATTCATTATGAAATAAAGAAAGTTCCAACATATTTTAATGTTTATTCTGTTCAACAGACCTGCAGCAGATGAGAAGCAGTTAAAAACATAAAAACTTTAACTGTATTATTTCAAAACATTTTCTAGCATCTTAACTCTAAACGAAAAAGCAGAAAAAGCATCAGATGTGAAGTGGTGCTCCTGCTCTTGTTATTCTTCAGCACATCAAAAAACCAACAAAGTCCATGCTCGATAATCCAGGTATACAATCCAACAATTTTTAGTCGGTCATCTGGACAGTTTCTTTTTTTTTGCTGAAACGTTTCACCTTCCATCCAGAAGGCTTCATCAATCAAGGAAACACACAACAAAAAAAATATTCTTCCCCCAAACAGCTTACTCCAAGGAAGGGGAAACGTTTCAGCAAAAAAAGAAACTGTCCAGATGACATGACTGAAAATTGTTGGATTGTATACCTGGATTATTGAGCATGGACTTTTCTGGTTTTGAACCAGTTTGACATGATTATCGATGAGGAAGAGGACTGGCATCGGAGGAGGGGGCGTGCCAAAGATACCATCTTAGCACCAACATAACTGGTTTGTTCCACTTTGGAGTAAGCTGTTGGGGGAAGAATCAGTCCAAATCCAGGCCTAGAGGGTAGGTGTCCTGAAAGTTTTAGGTGTTCATGTGTTGCATAAAGAGTGGAAAAGTGAAGGGTGGCGGGCCAGTAATCACTTAGATGTAGGTCATGTAGTTATTCGTATCACTGAGCGTGACCACAGCAACAGTCTTTCCTGGTTTGATCCTCAAACTCTCTGATGGACAGTCACAGATGCTAGCTGGCGTCTCCACAGGTACAAGTAGTGCTAAAGAAATTAACACGTTTAACATATGAATTCAATTAAACTGTATCAAAATGCTGTAACGTGCTATGTAGAACCAGCTAAGCCATAAATTAAAAACAAGTTAACAATCGGGGAAAAAAGGCTCAGAAACAGTAAAAACAATGAGCTTAGTTTAAACCTTGAACTTACCATCGTGGCAAAAAGTTTTATTTAAAACGTAGGTAGTTGGAGGCAATGGCTTGAAGAATCCAGCTGTCATGGCATCTCTGTTGTGAAGGACGTGTCTGGTGTGGATCATCACGTCACATTTGTCACAAAAGAAGGGGCCATGGTGTTCACCAGACGGGGTCTTTCTGCCTTCCAACTCTCTGAATAGAGGCTTTTGCTTGGTTTCCAGTTTGTGGAAGACAGAGGAACTTTTGGTGGTGATGGCTCATTAAGGTCGCCTGCAGCAGCATTCAGCGAGCTCTTTTAAAAGAATAAGAACAGCTTTTTTTTACAGTTTATTTAAGTATAGCATACAAAAGATACTTAGAAGAGCTAAAAATATGATCTACTAAAGACATATTACCAATGGTCTCTGGAGTCAAGACCACCTCATGCTGCATGTTATTAGAGGGACGGCTGGTCTTCTAAATGTGGCCAGCTATGGAAAAATAAAATATATATATATATATATATGTATATATACAAGCAAGGAGTATATTTAAAACATTACTTAAATCCACATTTATAGCATATGTCCAATTCCCATTCACTACCTGTAATTGCCCTATCACATTCCCTTATCTTAAGATTCAAATTCAAAGTAGAAACAAAAAATTCAAGTGATTTAAACTGTCAGATATATGAAGTAAACAACATGTTTGTTTGTAACCTTTTTTGTTTAAGGTAAGTCTTTAACAGCACGTCCATCAACTGCTGGAAATGCATTCATTCTGTTTCAACTACATTCTACTGCACGACCAAACAATAAAACTCCTCATTTATGTTGAATTACTAACCTGTACCATGTTGCAGAGTTATTTCTATTCATACTCTTATAGTGCAATTAAAGATAAATTTGTGTTTGGGAAAGTAATAAAGCCTCTTTCATAAATGCTGGATGGTTTTGAAAAGCAGTTAAATATCAAGTGGGTGTAACAGCTAACACAATAAATTAATTACTTAGAAAACATATACTTTGCCAAAATATCAAATATTGAATACATTAATTTAATGATATGGGCCAAAATAATCAACGTCAGTCAGTGATCATGTTTAAAAAAAAAGTACTGACTCTTCTCATGTGATTGATTTCTGATTGATCTCGGCCTTGCAAAGATTTCGTTTCCATCTTTGTCCCTTTTTCTCCACCTGACTGTGGGTTCAGGTTTCTTCACAGGTACTTGATCTTCATGTGACTTGAGCTCAGCAATCAAGTCATCCAGTGGCGTTCTTTAATTTCTGCTCAGTTAGAAAATCATCCAGGAACTTTATAGGCTCTAGGATATTTGAGTCGCTCGTGGTGATGGACAGACAAAAAAACAAACAAACAGAACTATCCACAAATGACCAAACAGAGGCCGAGACGCAGAGAGAGCAAGAGACAAATTACGGACACAAGGGTGACAGATAGATATGACAGACGTGGCTCTTAAAAGTGCCTTAGTGGGAGTTTTAGAAAAGTGGAAATAAATTGGTGCAATGATCTGATCAATGAAGAAGAACCTGTTGAGGAAAAAAAAAGTGTTTAGATTTCTGAAGCTCTTCCTCTGTCTTGCCACAGTAAAAAGACAACATAGACAGAGAATCATAACCCTAACATAGACAGGTCCGGAGGACTTTGACTGTGCTGTACGTCGTTGTCGCTGTGTCCTTGTACGGTACATACAAACTATACAATCAAATCACAGCGATACGAGTACATCCAGTCATTCAGCTGAAAACTGCCAAAGCTTTGATTTAAATGCAATTCAACAAACTAGCTATAATCAGTGTGTCCAGACTGGGCTCAGAAACGAAACCTGGGTGGACTTTGATGAATAGACAGGCTGGGTGTGTTCACCGTGTTCACTTCATTCTGCACTCTGTGCGTGTTCACTTTTCCATAGTTTTATGTTTTATACTTTATTCACATCATATCTATTTGTGTGTGTGTTATAAACTGTTCACACATATTTATCACATAGAGGGAAAAACTTGTTTTCATACAGCACTGAGCAGGAAGGAGGGGCCGAATTGTCTGTAGACAGGGAACAAAGAAAAGTTACTTTCGAGACTGGTACCGAAATCCAGTTCAAACTCGTTTTTCCTTGAAAGATAAGAAATATGACTGCGTGGTTGCCAAGGTAACCTTAGATTGACTAGATGGTCAGCCAATAGAAGATCCCCCTCCAGGAGGGAGGCGGGTTCATGAAGTGCTTATATTATCCTAAAACAGGAAGTAGCGTCAGACAATCTTAAGCAGAGTGAATTCTCAGTTGAAGTACGCTTCTATTGTCTCCTGAAATGCATTTCAGTACTTTGTTTTTGTAATACTTTAACTGCGGTGTGTATTAAAACTCTCTTAAACTAAGGTGAAGTCTCCTGGTGTACCTGCCCGATCCAAACCGACCCCGAGTAAAGGTGTTCATACCTTTGCAACAACTTTATGGATCATGGGCCCAGCCTTGGAACACTGATGCTTATAGCAACCCTCAGACTTTACTAAGTGGCAGCAACAAGCCTGAGTATAAAAACTTCTGAGACTACCATGGCTAGTTAAATGTATTAGCTACAGTTGAATCTGATTAGCTCTAAGCGGCTACTTTAGCTAGCTTCCCGCACATTTTTTGCGCCAAAAAAAGGTTAAAAACATGTCTAAATGTCTTCAGCCATTCGCTGTGGCACAGTCTTGCTACTAATAACTCCTAAAACCACCATCAGCAACTATGTAAACTAACAATTTTGTTGTTTTTTTTGTTTTGGTTTTTTATAGTGTAAAAACATTTTGACTGATTTGAACTCACCGCGTGCAATCTGTCGCTTTCAATGTCACTTCTTCATGGCTTTTTGTGCGGGTGGGTCCTTCCATTCTTTTTTGTTGTTGTTGTTGTTGTTTTAATTAAACACATTTAAAATTTGTACAAAACTATTTCACATGTAATCATAAAAGAAAATCCATCCCTATCCTTCTTAAACGTTTTTATTAAACTTCTTATTATTATTATTAATTGATCACAAACAACTTCGGAGGTGCATACCGCCACCGTACAGGAGTGTGTAATCGCATAGCCTCCACCTACAACAATCGTTTTAATTTTATATTGTATATTGCATCGTGTAGAATAATGCGTTATTTCCAATCATGGTGTTACGAAGACATCAGTGAAGCTGATTTAATGCTATCATATTAAAATATTAATGTCTCTGTGGTTATAAAATAAGCAGAATTAAGGGCTCGACTATCCAAACCAGAAGATAAAATCACAGCATGTACCCAGAGAACCAGAGGACCACATTTTTTAAAGCTGAAGTAAAATTAACAAAATGGTTAAAAACATACAGATACATAAGCTATGCACGGATTGTAGCACTTTCTATATGCCTTTCAAAAAAATGAGATCAGACTCCTCTTTGTTCCAGGTTCCAACGTTTAGGGAGCTCTGTAAACCTTGGGCCTTGGGCGGCTGTGGCTGAGTGGTTAGAGCAGTCATCCTCCAATGTGAGGGTTGGGGGCTCGATTCCACCAGTAGTCACATGCCGAAGTGTCCCTGGGCAAGACACCGAACCCCTCATTGCCTCCAATGTGTGTTCTATCGGTGTATGAACGTGATCCAAAGTGCTTAATCTCTACAGATTCACATTAGCTTGTAAAGATCTAGTAGAGTGCTGAATGAATGGATAAATGAGGGCACAAATTATGTTGTAAAGTGCTTTGAGTATCTTGATAAAATAGAAAGGTGCTATAGAAGTGCAGTCCATTTACCATTTATAACATTCAATGAGAGCACCCTGCACGTCAATGAATGACAAGAAGGGGCTACCTGATGCGTCAACAATGTGACTCAGAGGGAACCTGACCAGGCGTCCATATTTGACGGGAGTGAGAATATGTCACGTTACAAATATAATGTGTGAAATTTAAATTTTACATTAAGGAATATTTTTTATAGTAAATATCTAATTTTGTTCTCCAACAACCATTAAGCATGGGCTTTATTTAATCAGAAAGAAAAAGACCAAATTACATCAGGATTTATTTTACACATCGCCAGAGGTCACATTTTATCAAACAGTATCATTTGAGTAACTGACAGACTGCAGTTTAGGAAAGTTAGATGATGATTTGGTTGCTGCACTTTGTGTTTTTGTGCATCCATGTGTGCAGTTTCCTTCTTAAACCGGCAGTGATCCAATGCTGCTCTCTAGTGTAGCAGATAAATGATGCTATACTGTGTGTATATTTTTTTATCCAAATGTAGCCATAAACATGATCAGTTGTGGTTTTTCTTTCACTAAAACATATAAATAAATCATCTTAGAACTTACATACACTGTCTGGCCCAAAAATTGTTGCCACCTGGATTTAACTAAGCAAATAGGTACGAGCCTCCTACTGAATAATTACTGCACGAGTGACTGGCAACAAGTTATTTAACCCCAACTGGTGCAATGAGTTGCTTCTCATTTCTTAAACAACAATGTCGAAAGACACATTGCGTGGTCGTGGAAAAGATGTCAGTCTGTTTGAGAAGGGTCAAATCACTGGCGCGCATCAAGCAGAGAAAACATCTAAGAATATTGCAGAAACTACTAAAATTGGGTTAAGAACTGTCCAACACATTATTAAAACCTGGAACGATAGTGGGGACCCATCTTCTTTGAGGAAGAAATGTGGCTGGAAAAAAATCCTGAATGATCGTGATCGGCGATCACTTAAACATTTGGTGAAATCAAATTGAAGATAAACAACAGTAGCACTCCAGGCTGTGTTTAATAGTGAAAGTAAGAGCATTTCCACACACACAATGAGAAGGGAACTCAAGGGATTGGGGCTGAACAGCTGTGCAGCCTTAAGAAAACCACTAATCAGTGAGGCTAACTAGAAAAAAAGGCTTCAGTTTGCTAGAGAGCATAAAGATTGGACTCTGGAGCAATGGAAGAAGGTCATGTGATCTGAGTCCAGATTGACCCTGTTCCAGAGTGATGGGCGCATCAGGGTAAGAAGAGAGGCAGGTGAAGTGATGCACCCATCATGCCTAGTGCCTGGTCATCAATGCACGATTTTGGTGAAAAAAAATACGAAACACTGGATGGAAATAGTTCTTGTGACATTGAAGAAGCTTATCGAAACAATGTTGCAGTGAATGCTGCTGTAATTAAAGCTAAAGACGTTCCAATGAAATGTTTTTTTTTTGGGTGGCTACTTTTTTGGGGGGGGGTGGGGGGGGGGTGGGACAGACAGTGTATAATCCAATTTAAAATCCCTGATGCATGCTCAAAATTGTTTGAAACTTTAAAGCACAAAGAATTTTATTAACTGTTTACTGTGAAAATGGAAATGAGCTTCAAAGCATTTCAGTTGGTTTTGATCTGAAATGATCAGTTGTCTTTGCTTTAAAGCTAAAAATAAAAATAAAACACTTATAAGTCTCTGTCATATTGTTTGTGGACACTTGGTTGTGCAAAAGAGCAACCAGGGAACGAATAGAGGATTAAACATCCAGGAAATGATGTGAAAAAAAAGTGTTTGTAGATGTTATTTTAAATTATTATTTTTTTTTGCATTCTTTGGAGAAGTAAATATTTGAACCTGTTGGATAAGGCGCAGAAAAAAATGAAATAACACTCCACTGAAATGCATGTTTGAACTATTTACTTTAAAAAAAAAAAATCAAAATATTATGCATACAAGGCTTTTTTTTTGTCTAAAATGTTACATTTTAAGTTTGGGATTAAATATGTTAAACTGATGAATAAATGAATGTCAGCAAGCTGCTTATTTTCTGAAAGCGACACAATTTTAAACTAATTAAAAAATATATTTAAAGTGAAATTGTGTTTGTGAGATTTCTCAAACATTTGCTGAAAACTCATCACATGCGTTATTGTATACTTGTTTATTTTTATTTGTTTATTTTTATCAACAAGCTGTTAAACTTTTCCATCAAAATACCTTTAGCTGTCATGCACGTGAGTGCTCTGATAATGCTAATAATAATGCATATATGAATAATATTTATGATAATCTCATAATGCATATATTAAAAAATCAAAACAGTCCAACAGAAAATATAGTTTGTTTAAATTTGAACAATTACTATAAATTTATTAATTTCTTTATTGTTTTGTAACCAATTGAAAACATCTATTAGCAGCTGGTCGCTTTTGTTTTATTCTGAAAGGTGTAACCGGAAGCACTTCTTTTCACAACAGCCACACTTCATAATGAGGTCCACCAAAGATCAGAACTGAAGCTGAAACCCAAACATGAAGCGTGAACCATCAGATCTGTGAAACCTGTCGGAAAGTGGCACGAGACGTCTGGTTTGGGTCGACATGAGGACAGAGCTTTATTCTGAAAGAATCCAAAACAGGAAGTGAGCAAATGTTTGGACCAGTCAAGATTTTAATCCATAAAATTGGTCCAAAAAGAAAACGGATTGCTCCACCTGGTGAGCTGAAAGAGGACGGCGCGTTGCGGGTTGTGTTCTCCTGCAAATAAATAAAGAAATGTAGGGGGGAAATAAAATGACAACCGCTGTCAACATCTGTCTGCAAAACGTGTTCGAGCTGAAGGTGAAGCAGGATTGTCGCGCGCGGCTCTGTCAAGGTGCGATGGGAGAAAATGCGCATTAGAATTTCTCCTTCAGGTCAACTGGATCTCAGCAGCACCTGAGTCGGGACTGGGTTTCCCTCCCCCGGTTTTTATTTGTCCCTCTGCTTCGTGGACTTGTGCTGTGCAGCGCAGTGAGGAGGAGGATGGTCTTTGCCCTTCATCTGGTTGTCATGTCTTCGGCGTTTTTCAACCCCAGCTTCGCCTTCAGCTCCCACTTTGACACAGGTAAGAGTCAAACTGGGAGGAAATGAAGGAGGGCTGCTTGTGTTTTACTCATTTTATTCCCCTTAAATCTGCAGGCTGATGCAGCTTTCTTATGCCTTTAATTTTCTTACCTTGTTTATTATTATTATTATTATTATTATTATTATTATTATTATTATTATT